ACAAGGTTTAACATCGGATGACGACATAACGACGATGAGAAACATTAGATGTAAAGATGTTTATGTCATGAAGGATGAACATAATATTAAATTCACTGCTCAAGATTTATATGACAAGAAAGCAGACAAGAACCATACACATAAATCCTTCACTACTGTTAGAGCAGACGACATAATATTGAACTTTGACCTTGGTTCAAGTGCACCATTAGAGAATCCAAGCACAAGCGTAAAAGATACTCTTAACAATTTAGATAAGAGTTGCAGGAATACCGAAGATCATGCCAGAAACTTTGAAGCATATGAACTACCAGCAATGTTAGAAGAAAGCAGATAAAACTTATGTGGATGCAGAACTAACAAAGAAATTTTCGAAACCAGATACAATGACATTTACAACAGAAATTATAAATGGTGAACCAGCAACTCCATTTGAATTTGTTAGAGGTCTTCAACCAGATACTTTTGAATTTTTCTTGGATAATTCTATTGAACTAACATTACATTATAAAAGTGGAACAAATGCAACATTTCATCCGGGAGATACATTCCAAATGGTATTTAATGACATAAGTTCTTTAGAATATGTTTATAGAGTTATGAGCATATATGATTTAATATATCCTATAGGAGCTGTTTATACGTCTATGAATCCAATAAATCCAAACACTTTATTTGGTGGTAGATGGTATGAAATAGTTGACAGTTTTCCATTCTACACTAATACGCAGTCAATGAAGATGGGAGGTTCAAAGAAAATAGGTATTGAAAACCTTCCTTCACATATGCATAGGTTCAGTGGAAGAACATCTGTGGAAGGAAACCATTCACATTCAATAACAAAAAGAGGTTATACAAATCTTGCAGCGGGTTCGGATAGACAGGGAATGCAGATATGATATCACAACTGACCCCAAAGATGTTAGCACAGGTATTTTCTGTGGAACTGCAGGAAATCATACACATGTTGTAGCTGGTATTACAGACCCAGCAGGTAATGGAAAAGATTATATGCCTCCTTATATAACAATGCACGCTTGGATACGAGTTGGTTAAAATCTTTAACTTTACATAAATGAGCTTGAAAGAAGTATTCGAACAACATCCATGGAGGTCATTTAAGAAGTTCAATGAAGCTGCAAAGAGTTGGGGATTTACTAACAGAGCTGAAGTGAAAAGGTTCTTTGACAAAAATGTTGTACATCAAACAAAAATAAATCCTTACGACTACTTTTTACCAATTTACTCCAACACTCCTGACGCATACCAATTTGACACTCTCATTCAAAGCAGAAAAGGAGGACATAAACCATTCCTCATCTTCATAAATGTTAACACTCGTAAAGCATATGCATATAATGAAAATAAAGGAACTCATGAAGTGTTAAGAGTTTTACAAAAGTTTGTAGCAGAACATAGCCCAAGTATTTTAACATCAGACCAAGACGGTGCATACCTCAGCAACGAAATCACAGAATTTCTCATTAAGCATAACATAACTCACTACACTACTGAAGACCATAACCATAACATACTCGGTATCATAACCGCTTCATAAGACTCTCAGAGATTTAAATCAAGAGCGAGACTTTACCGAAGAAACAATGAAACATTTTCTCGAAGTATATAATTCCTCAACACATTCTACAACAGGACATACACCAAATTCAATGACACAACAACAAGAAGAAAAGTATATACAAAAGAAACGAAGCCAAACACAAAATATCAGAAATTCAAACAATTTACCTCATTCCTGGTACAAAAGTTCGTGTAGTTCTTGACGACAAACCATTGACAAAGAAACGTTTAAGGTTAAGTCGAAATTATTATATCGTAGACTCTACGCAAGGTAATGGATATCTTATAAAAGCTGCTGACGACTCCATAGCATTTTACCCTCGACATAAATTAGTCGAAAGTAGTAATGGCAAACTTGCTGAAACCATTGACGAAGCAAAGCGAGGAGTGGTTATTGAAATACTTGACTATAACACAAACGATGACACTTATAAAGTAAGATATGAAGGAGGCGTTGAAGATGTTATACCATCTAAGAACTTGAGAGAATCTAAACCAACTCATCTGGGACCATTAGAGCGGGAGTACTGGAAAGATAAAAACATGCCAGAAAGAATAAGAAAATTCTTCTAAACTTTTTCGTTGGATGTAAATCAGACAAAAATATAATTTAGGTGAAGAGGTGAGATTCACCTGTTTTCTCACCTTTTTTTCACCTCTTGAACTTTTTATAACATTCGGTCATAACTTCATCAATTTCATTTAAATCACGATTTAAAAACTCATTGACTTCATCTTCAACCGTGTCATCTTGTAATAAGAATATTTTCTTTAGTTTCATGTCAACATCCCGAACAGCACAAAGGATAAAATCATATTCATTTCTTCCGTTAAACATACTTTTTCTTTCTCGTTCATCGTTAAATAAATTATTGAAAATATAAACAGCGGTGTAAAAGTTATGTACTGTGTTAAATGTTGAAGCTTCACCTATTTTAGATTTTAGGATTCTTTTAGTAAGTAAATTGTTATCGTTCTTTCTCTTTTCCTTATCGTTCATGTCGAATCTGTCGAACCACATATCCTGTATTTCATCGAATTTACGAACTATAGAATCCGTCATTTCCCTGGTTAATGAGGGGTAATCATTATTAATTTTTTCATATAATTTGTCCATATGATTTTCATCGACGTTTCCGGAAAGCATTTAATTAAAGCAAAAATATATTATAGGTGAAGAGGTGAGATGTCACCCGTTTTCTCACCTGTTTTCTCACCCCAGTTTTTCACAAGCGTTTTACATGAATTGTACGATGTATATTTGAAATCCTAAACAATTTCGTAGCTTCTATTTCTTCTGTCAGTATGTCAAAAGTTTTAACAATGCCGAAAGTTTCTTTATATTTCTTCTTGACGTCAGATAGAAGGAAATCGTCAGCAGTTGGATAGTTTTTGTTCAGAAATGCTAACATGTCCATTTTATTTTCTGCTGGCTTTTCTGCTTCTTTCTTTAAGTCTGCATAGTCGTTTCGCATTCTTTCTATCTCTTTGACGGAGTAGTTATATTTCCTAATTGCTGCTTTACATTTAGAACATTGCGGATTCATTTTTGCGTTATATTCTGAAACCTTACCTGCTAAAACAACTAAGGCGTCAATGGTTTTCTTTAACTCAAAAGCAGTTGGTCTTATCTGTTCGTTCCATATTTTACCTCTTCTATCTTTATCTCTTATCTGCCATACACATTCAGCAACTAACGAAACAAAGTTATCGTAGGTCTTAAACTCCCCGGATTTATATATGTCAGAAACATTCTTATATACCATGTCGCAATCTTTGTCCATAACCTTATGGTTGCAATGAAATCCTAGAAACTCATAGTTTACCTTTCGAATGAACTTCTTTATTTCTACTGAGTCAGTTGGTTTCACTTCTATTTCATCGAATTCAGGAATAGTTAGTTTTTGATGCTGAATTTCAGGTAGTTTAGGTAAATGGTCAATAATGTCCTGCATTTCATAAAGATACTGTTCATTTGTTTCATCTTTCGCACTACAGTCTAAATTACTTGTTAAAAGTTCTTGCTTTATCTTCTGGATTTTTGTTTCGAAAGTATATGAAGAAGGAATGAAGCTTTTCATCTCTACTAACATAGATGTTGGATTCATGACTAACGAGTTTGGTGAAGTTGTTGTGGACAGAGTCCCGCCGTTCGCGGCTTGAATTGTTGTTGTGCCGATTGTTGAAATCATATCTTTACATACAAAATAAAAAAATAAATAAAATAAAACTAACGTTATTTTTTCTATCTTAAGGAAATTCATGAAAATTCAAGACCCTTTGGGTCTCGCCGCTTAGCGGCTGAGGGTGAGAAATTAGGTGAAAAAAGAGGTGACATCTCACCTCTTCACCTATAATATATTTTTGGTCATTTACACTCATTTACGAAGAAGTTATGACAAAGCATTTACGATGAAATCTTGACAAGGCATTTACGAAGAAGTTATGACAAAGCATTTACGAAGAAGTTATGACAAAGCATTTACGAAGAAGTTATGACAAAGCATTTACGAAGAAGTTATGACAAAGTCACGAGGGTGAAAAAACAGGTGAGAAAACAGGTGACATCTCACCTCTTCACCTAAATTATATTTTAGGTCAAAGCTTCCACGAGAGAAAAGATTCCTCATTCGCTAAGGATTCCAAAAATGAAAAAATCATTGATTTCGGCTGAGAAAAAACAGCAAAACCCTTCTTCCACGGGAACAAAGAAATAAAGAAGAAATAAAGTAAATTTTTTATTTATTCCCGTGGAAGATAGAGCACTTTTATGACACTTTTTATTCACGACAAACAAGACAAATAAAGAAAATAAGAAAATACGGCGCTGTCGCGGTTCGAACCACAGACCCTGACCCCTCCATAACACCACCTTAGACCACTGTGCTACGTAGCCTGTCGACATAAGATTTTATAAATTGCATATTTGACGTAAATTTATTTCCATCTGGCTTCCCACTGCATAAGATATTCATACGTGTTTGTAAGACATTCATTAAACTTCTTTTCTATTGCATCTAATCTTGCGTTATTTTTTTCAATAACTTGTCTGTATTCTTCATCATCTCCAGCAGTGTTTGGGTCTTCACGTTTAAAATATTCATTGTTAACCAATTTTTTATCTACAAATTTTATTAGTGTTTGATTCACTTCGTTATGATAACGGTCATATTCTTTCAATACGTAAGTGAAGACAAAATGCGTCGTACCTTCAATCTTAAAGCTTAAAGAACTTTCAACACAGTTTTGAGGGTCTGTCAGTGCGTCAATGAGATAGTATTCGAAGTCAGTCAATAATCTTTTTAAAGTCATTTCATACAGGATAAAATTTAATGTTGTGAAGAAATAGTGTTTATCTCAGAAAAAATAACGCTAATTTTATTTTTATTTATTTTTTTATCCTGTATGTAAGGACAGATATGTCAACATTAGAGAACACAACAACTGCTATCGTTCATGAAGTCATAAATGAAGAATACGAGTACATACAATATAACAAACAATTGAGACTCATTCGTTCTGTCAAAGACGACATGTACCAAATGCAAAGTATTTTGACGGCTTGTTTTGCTCCAGATACTAAGCTTCCTAAAGACTGGTTTAGGAACCAAAGCACCATAGAACTATTAAGTGAAGCACAGCGAGACGTACTTTTTTCTGAAAACAGTGAAGAACAGCGAGTAGGTAAAAAATCCCAGTCGCCAAAACTCTATGAAAACCGTGAAAAATTGCCAAACGGTTTGAGAGGATATTATGTTCATAGACTTTTAGTAAATGTTGTAGCAATGTGGGCTTCACCACGTTATGCTTGGTATGTTTGTAAACTTCTTGACGAAATTCACAGACAAGAACGTGGAGAGATGGAAAAGAAACTTCAAGCAAAAGATGAAGTCATTGAATCCAAAGACAAAAGCATACAGAAAAGAATACCACGTTCAGTACCAAAAGGAAAGGAAAAGAGTTATAAGTATATGATTATACTGAAGAGTTGGAGAAAGAAGAAGATAGAGATATGGTTATGTTGCATTTAGTCAGAAGAAACAACAAAAGCTTTTACGACCTTGCTAAAATATATAAATCTGACAGAAACTGGTTCTATCGTGAAAACTTACCGATTTCAATGACACCGAATGAGCAAATAAAGAAATTGTCAAAAATACTCTTCCTCAAACACACTATGACATCAAAGGTTGCACAATACTTACCTTCAAAGAAGACTTAACATTACTGAAGGAAAAAATAACAGAATATTTCGATAACTTCAAAGAGGAAGAATGAAGTCACGACAACATTAACGAAGAAGTCACGACAACATTAACGAAGAGAGAATGAGGTGAAAAAACAGGTGATATCTCACCTCTTCACCAAAAATATATTTTTGGTTAAATAGCTTCAGGGTCAATTTCTTCAACCATTTCACTTCCTTCGTCAATGTCAATTGAAGCTTCTTCAACCTTTGGTAAGAACTTTTGTATAACATCTTTGTTCGTTATTGTCTTCAGAGATGAAGGATAATATTTCACAGATGTTTCACCCTTCTTATATTCTTTCTGTTCGGAAAGATTCATAGCAATACTGAAGAAGTCAATGTTGGAGTTCTTTATGACAGTATAGTGTGTATCTTTGACATTCACGAAGAAACCCTTTTGTTTCAAAACTACTGCTAACTCTTGTGAAGTATAACGTTTGCGGTCAATGACGATAGCTAATGGTCTGACATACTGACCAAACTTAGATTCTTTCACAAACTTCTTGTTAAAGATAACATTAACGTTTGAAGCATTATTGAACTCATTCTTGATGGCAGTAGCGAGAGCATTGTATGAAAAGAACTTGCAATCTTGCATGTGTTTCATTAAAATAAAAATATTAAATTATTTTGAAAAATAACTTAAAAAAAATCTAATCTAATTTTTTCAAAAAATATTTTTTTATTTCCTACTAAAGATGTATCGGAAGTTGTCTAAGTTAGAACACTCGGAAATAAAACAACTTCTTACAGAAGCTAATATAGATGTTGCAAAGCATTACGCAACAAACAAAAAAGCACTCGCTGACTTCATTAAAGACTATAATGGTGCAATAAGTTATGATAGAATTCATGAGTTCATAAAGCCGCAACGCGGCGAGGACGAAGTCCATGCAAGAGCATTTCCTTTAAATGACATTGCTATTGACTTATATCATAGACGTTCAGTACCTCATGAAGTAAGAAGAGAGATGTTTGACATAACAAATGCAAACGTTGGTGAAACAAGAAGAGCTGTACCTCATGAAGTAAGAAGAGAGATGTTTGACATAACAAATGCAAACGTTGGTGAAACACGAAAGAGAGATGACACACTGAAACAACAGAGAAGAGAGATGTTTAAAAGTGCTATAGAACAAGTTCGCAAAGCTAACGATGTCATTCGTTCCATTGACGACAAACCAAAAGAAGGTGAGAGATGGTTAAAGAAAGATGAAGAGAATAGGAAGAGAAATGTGAAGTCAGGCAATAGACTCATTGACTTTAACATCGAAGCTTTAGATGAACCAAACAGAGACTACTTACACAAACATTTCGGTAAGGTTTTCATGAGACTCTTAGAGAAAATTAAAATAAACTCCAACAGAGATGGATGGTATGTTATAAACTTGGTGGAAAGTATGAATGTTCTACGTTAAACCTCAATAATATTGGAACATTACTACATCAGCTCTTGAAGGAGAACTTTATATCAGAGATAGAAGCAAATGCTGCAGGTATTGTTGAAATGCACTATGACTTCTTCTTGACAAACATAAAGAATCTTACCGAAATAAAGATGTATGATTTAACAGAATATGAAGGCTTAACGATGTCAGATGTAAAGAAAGGCAAACCAAAAAAGAGACCATATAGAGATGAAAGCACACTGACAAATGACCAGAAAGCCATTTTGGAAGCTCTTAAGCAAACAGGAAACCCAGCACTTATAGAAAGCTTTTGGAAAGATAATGGTGAAAAGAAGTTTTATAAGAAGAGAAGCGGTCAGTTCTGGAAGTATCTTTGCACATTACCTATAAATCTTGAACGCTACCAAATCTTCAATGAACTGAACAAAAGAACTGCAACACTTATGACAGAGGACAATTGTTTCGTTTATGCTTGCATTCAGGCTGGAGTAAATGAAGAAACTATTGACCACATGAGAGAAGTCATTCGTGTTAGAGACTTTCCTCAAAGTAAAGTACAAGAAATTTCGACGCAACAGGTATAGCATTTAATGTTACCATTGGTTATTTCAATGACTCAAGACATAATGAAATAAAGAGATATATACCAAAAGAATGCGAAACTGTTAGAACTATTGACTTACTTCTTGTTGAAGACCACTACATGCTAAATGAAAGATTACCAATGACAACATACTTCATTCGAAACTATATAGAAATCTTCAAAGTGTGGTGGAATGAACATTGAGAAACAGATGAAGATTTATACAAAGAGAGAAGATAAATATGTAGTTCGTTATGATAGAACAACACCGCTATGGGATGTTATGAAAACATTGTGGGAGTGCAAATATTTCGAACCTATTTCTTATGGAGAACTTTTCACATATACTACTGACTTATATAAACAGAACCTTGCACCATTTAAAGATTTGACATATGCTCCAAAGTATTGTGTACAACTGAAGAAGAAAGCAGAGTCAAAAGAAGTAAATAAAGCTAAATGTAAATTCATTCCTGAGCACGTTTTCTTTGCTGACTTTGAGTGTAGTACAGGCTTTCATAAAGCTTTTAACATCTGTTATGACAGTGAAGATGGTTCAGTGAGTGAAAGCATTTGGGGTCAAAACTGTGCAACAGAATTTTTGGAAAGACTTCCTGACAAGAGTTTAATATATTTCCACAACCTCAGTTATGACATAAACTTCATCTTAAGACACATGACAGAAGTGAAAGGAACTCCCATCATTAAAGGTTCACGAACAATGCAAATAACTGGTTTATATAAAGGACGGGCAATTATTATAAAAGACTCTTACAGTGTTATAAATAAGAAGCTTAAACTATTTCCTGCTATGTTTAACTTACAAACAGGACCGAAAGAAGTATTTCCATATAACTACTACAGCAGTGTTTTGTTAGCAAATGACAACAGAACTGGTGTCATTTCTGAAGCATGTAAGTTTATCCATGATGCAGATACATTTATGAAAACATAGATTCCATCAAAGGTTGCAGAATAGATGAAAACCACTTCGACTTAGAAAAATATAGCACGTTTTACTGCAAACAAGATGTAAGAATTTTAAGAGAAGGTTTTGTAAAGTTCCGCAATGACTTATTGAAAGAGTTTGATTTAAACGTTTATGACTACGTTAGTATTTGTTCTATTGCTAACAAATTGTTTGAGAACAGAGTATACTTCCCGAATGGAAATCTTTATGACCTCTCAAATAAACCAAGAGAATTTATTTCGAGATGCATTCAAGGTGGAAGATGTATGTTGTCAGATAACATGAAACAAAAGAGCAAAAAGAAACTCATTGCTGACTTCGACACTGTTTCATTATATCCTTCAGCTATAGCAAGACTTTATACTTTAGAAGGTATTCCAAAAGTATTGAAGGAAGAAATGTTAAGCACAGAGTATCTCATGAGACATTTATTCGATGATGACCAAAAGGAACCCATTGGTGAAAAGTTTATGTCTGGCTTCTTTGTTCTCATTAAGATAACAGAGATTGGTATACCCAGACACTTTCATTTAATAGTTTGCGACCCTGAACTAAATCCAGAACTTAACGTTCCAAGAAGTTCAAACACTTGCTGTCTCATGTATGTTGACCATATAACATTACAAGACCTCATAAAATATCAATGTGTCAAATGTGAAGTGTTGCAAGGATACTATTACGATGGAAACAGAGATATGAGAATAAGAGATGAAGTAAAGAAGTTGTTTGAGTTAAGGTTAAAGTATAAGAAAGAAGGAAACCCCTTACAAGAAATTATAAAACTCATTCTGAACAGCATTTATGGCAAAACTATTCTATCTCCTATTGAGTCAAAAATAACCATAGTAAATGACAAAGATGCTATAAGATATGCTATAAGAAATTACAACCATATAGTGAAGTTCGAAGGTTTGGATGGTTCAGATAAAACTATTTTCAAGCTAACGAAAAGCATTTGCAGACACTTTAACTTCTGTCCACTTGGTGTTAATATTCTGTCTATGTCAAAACGTATTATGAATGAAGTATTCTGTACTGCAGAGACATGGGTCTTCAAATCTTTTACCAGGATACCGACAGTATGCACTTATATAATGAAGACATACCAAAGCTTGCAGCAGAGTTTAAGAAGAGATATGGTCGCGAACTTATAGGAAAGAACCTTGGTCAATTTCATAGCGACTTTGCAGAAATAACACCTGGAAAACAAAGTTTAGCTTATAAAAGTATTTTCTGTGGAAAGAAGACCTACATAGACTTACTCACTAACGATTTAAATGAAGTTGCATTTCACTGCAGAATGAAAGGCGTGAAGCAAGATGTTATTGCTTTAACCGCTAATGAAATGTTTCCTGAAGCTATACAATGCTATTACAATGAAGATAAGAACATTCACATACCTGTTGGAACATATGACAAAGACTCTGAGTTCAGTTTAATGAAACTTTACAAAGCACTTTATGATGGTCAAGAGATTGCATTCGACTTATGTAAGTCATGTCAACCTTGCTTTGCTGAAAAGTTCAACTTTTCAATAACGACTAAAACAAGCTTTATTCGTAAGTTGAAGTTCTGAGGTCATTTATTTTTGTCAGCAATGAGTCATGAATGAGTCAGTCAGAATGAGGTCATTCGTGATAAAAATAAAGCTAGCGTAGATTTTACAATACTGCGATGGTAGAGTTTAAGAGTTGTGCTTCAATGTAGAGACAGTCCTTATGGTCTGGAGGCAAGAACACTGGACATTTATGGTCATGAGTGGAGAACATGTCTATCCAAAACTCACGATTGAAGCCAGTTAATTTATAGTATTTAGGGTTAGGAAGTGGTGAAGTTCTTGTATGACCAATGAACTCATTTTCAACGCCTTTGGCTTATTAGAATAAATATTGCTTGCTTTCTATCCCAAATGCCAGGTGTTACAATCTTTGAAAATTCATTTTTCCTCGGAAGCATTGCATCATAATTGAAAACATTCTTAAAATCATCACTTGGTTCGGAGATTTGAAATCTTATACGTAATGGATTTTTTTCTCTTTAGCGACTTCATTGAATGGTGAGAATACAATGAATTGACAGTCATGAGTTCCATCTTCATTTTCATTAAATTCATAATGAAAGTCTATAAGTTGTGGCTGACTACCTTCTTCTTCAGTTGTGCAAGAAACTCACGTAAAGGCTGTAAAGTTTGTACTTCAATGTTGAACTTTTTCTCGAACATCTCATTAAATGAAATCATACATTGCAACAATGTTGTATCGTCTTTAAAGTATTTGTATATGTGAATGTTTTGGGCGCTTAAAGACTGTTCGTCATTTTCTATCTCGACTTGAAGTATAAAGTCAACCTTTCTGAAAGCACGTGTTATATACATAGATGTTATGCCAATGTACTTCTCTTCATTTATGTTCACAATCCAGTCTGTTGGAAACTTAAACGTTACTCTGTTCCCCTTTATTTTGACGTCAGGGTTTTCACTACTGAACGCAACAGATAAAGGTATTTGTCTATACATTTAGTTCGGATAAAAATAAACCATTTACTCTTTCTTTGCTTCAGCTTCTTTGCTTTTTGCTTCGCTTTCTCTAGCTTTCTTTGCCAGCAAACGTGGGTTCTTTGTCTTCCAGCAGCTAATGCAGCTAGTTGTTTTTCACTAAGTTTTCTCTTTGGTCTCTCTGGCTTTTGTTCTTGTTTTTGTTCCTTCAGTTCGGATAAAATTTGCTCGCGAATTTCTTTCTTCAATGCTTCAACATCTATGACCCCTTGGGTCTTGTCCGTAGGGCTTGTCTGAGTCATTTGACTGTAGATAAAAAACTAAATTAAAACTTTAACCGATGTAAAATGAGCTTGTCAAAATCAGAGCGAGAGTCTATTATATTAAATGACGCAGAGGAATACAACATCCTTTCTATTACGTAAGTCAGAGTAAAGATGGTAAAATATATGTAAGAAAAAGAAAGGTTCCATTAGCGAATGCAGAGAGCGACAACATTAAGGTGCATGGCAAGGGTGAAGTCCACGAAGCCCATATAAAACCTTCTGTTCAAACTGAAAAGTCAATAGAACAAGAAGAAAAGAAGCCAGATGTTCTTTCAATAACGAACCAAGAGCTTATTGCAAAGTTCGTGAATTTCATTGAAAAACAAACCGAGTCAAAGAACCCTGACCCGCCAGTGAAAGAAGTTGAGACAAAAGAGAATGTACAGTTCATTGAAAATGTCAAGAAACAACTTCCACCACGAATGCCAAGAAGAAGAGTGAGAATAATGAAGTAAATAGATATTTTTATCTGAAGTAAATACATGCAGAACGAACAGTAAACGAATTTACTCCAGCAGAGCATATTCATCAGATTCGCTCATATTTCGATATCATAGACAATGCAGTTCAAATTGGTGACACTAATAGAAAATATTCTGACGCAAAGATTCCATCACAACCTGGAACTGCTAAAGATAACACATGGGTAACATTCAATCTCTCACCTCCTGGTGAAAATATGTTGGACCTTTACAATACATTCATTACGTATAAAATGGAAGGTCAATTTATTGTAGATAAAGAAATTGGTTCAGGTTCCAATAAAACAAACCCACCAGGATTTTGGATTGGTTTCGATGACGCTTTCTATGCAGTTGCTGGATATCAAATCCTTGCAAATGGTCGTATCGTATATTCTCAAGACAACGCAAGAGAAGAAGCATATATAACTTCAAACTCACAAACTACCGAACAAATAAAGAAAGTAGATGTTTTCTCAAAGACTCGACATGAAGATGTATGGAGTCATTCGGGAACATGCAGAACAGGACAAATTGTTAGTGGTCCAATTACAGCAGGAAAATCATTTGATTTTAAGCTTCGTTTAAGAATTCCTGTTAGAAGATTCCTTCCATTAGAAGCTATTCGATTTATTCCAGCTTTTGCAGGAAACATTCAGCTTAAAGTAAAGTTCAGTAGCGACGCCTTACAATGCACATCTATATCTGTAAATGATATCATTGCTTTCAATCCAACTCTTAAAGTTGCATTTGCTTCAGATTCAAATCCACCGACAAATAAATTTGTTCCATGGAATGAACCATTCACTATGATAACGAAGGCAGTAGAAGCTAGTGGAACAGTTACTATTACAACTGTAAACCAGCAACTATTTCGAACAAAGATGGATTTTAATGAATGTTTCATTCATCCAAAGTCATTCTCTTTAGACCCTAACATTTATACAGAACTTGTAGAACATTATACAAACGAGGCTTTATGTTTTCCTGTTAAAGTTATGGATTGGATTCCTATGGACGGTTCATTCTCAAAAATACAGATAGTTCAAGTGCAACATTTACAGCAGCTTATACGCCTATTAATGTTAAAAGTATTTGGGCACTATTTAGAAAGAAAGACAACTATTATGTTAATTTTGAGAACCCTAAGTTTAAATATCTTCAGCTTTCCATGGGAGCTTATGGAAATATGCCTGCAGAACCTGAAAAATCATATGGACCTGTATTTTATGAAATGGTTGCGAACGCTTGCAATACAAACAATGATATGATAGGATTTAATGAAGATGTTATGAGGTCATTGGTGGATGATGGTAGTGTGGAACATAAATGGGATAGCTATGACAACACACATTTCTTATGTGGTTTTCCAACAGAAGTGGACTTTTGCTTCCAGCAAGGTCAAACATCTACTGCTCCAATAACATACAAATTGTCTGTTAAAGGACCTATTGAACTAGCAACTGAAAACGTACCAAAGCCACTTATTGGATTTATGAGGGATTGTTGCTTTGCATACAAGTGACAGTCAACATACCAATAATAAGACTTGATGACTATAACTTAGCCACGGACGACAGTGAGGAATAAAGGATGAACGTTTATTTTTAAAGCTTATAAATGAGTTCTTCATCAAGCTCTCGTGAACCTTCACCATCTATGAAACAAACTTTACCAAACGATTATGGAGCACCTATTGAATATTTCTTACGAGCTGCACAATGGCAAAGAGCAGTCTCACCAAGGTTAGGTGTTCCACCAGCTCCTGTCAAAAATAGCATTTGGTCAAGTCCTTATATAAAATATGGTCTCCCACTAGGTTTGCTAGCTACAGCAGGAGCAGTTATGATGTTGAAAAGAAATAAAGCAAATGTTGTAAATAATACTGAAGTAGCTGAAGTTAAACAAACTCCGACACCATCACAACAACACCTTCAATGACTCCTGAACCTATGAAAGTACAAACTCCTGTTCAAAAGTCAACTCCTAAACCGACTCCAACATTTAAACCAGAACCTACTCCTCAAATAAATCGTAAAACTCCTGCGTTTCCTTACTGAAAAAATAACGTTATTTTTATTTAATATTAAAATTTTTATTTGATTGAAATGACGACTAAAGTCACTGAAGCAATGAAACAAAAGTTTTTGGTAGAATACATTAAATCAGGAGCGGTTCCAGAAGGTTTTTACGTTCATACTATGAAGGATGGTAGAGTTCAGTTTAGAAAGATAAAGCAACCATTAGATAGAGAAGGTATATTAAGGAAGATTAAACTTCATGAGGACAACATTGCTGAACTTAAGAAGAAGTTAGAAGAGTTGGAGAAAGGAAGAGAGTTATAAAGCAATGAATTCAAGTGGGTGAAAAAAAGGTGAAAAAAGAGGTGAGATTCACCACTTCACCTAAATTTATTTTTGGATGTTTTCATACGTGTGAGGGTGGTGATATCATTAATTTTTAAGTTTATTTTTATATAAATGACGAAAACTATTGAGATAACAAACTACAACGGTCATGAGTTCAAGAATTTGTTCTTCGTTCCTCGTGAAAATACATTCTATCAGATACGAGGGAGAAAGGGTAAAGTTAGTTTGAGCGTTTACGACAACAACATAATGGGAGATATATAAAAGCAATAGATACAAATGGTAAACGTGTTTCATTAGCTTTGTCAAAACTTACAGGTATAAACTATGACAGTGATTTTGACCTATATGAAGAAGAAAGTGAGTCAGAAGATTATGAGCTGTTATGTGAAGCACAGCAATGGAAGCGCTGCAATACTTTTGTAAATGAGAACATTAGTGGGAACGTTAGTGAGAACGTTTATTTTTTCATTAGTGAAGTCGTTAGCGAAAATGTTGGTGAGCTCGTTAGTGAAGTGGTTGGCGGCTTTGTAAATATTTAAGGTTAAGTGAGTGTTGTCGTTTTGTGTTGTAAAATATACGTTAACGGTTTCGTAAAGTGTCAAATTCACAAGTATTGCGTACGGAGAAACGCAGTGCCTCAGTACCCAAGATAACCATACTAACTGGCGTATGTAATGGTCTGTGCCTTAAGTTGCTGTGGTTGCTGTTGTTTAATCATTTATTATGATTAAAAAATAAATATTTAATCTGTTATCTCATCACCTATTTTTTCTATTTGAAATTGCCATAATATTTCATTCATGAATTCTAAATCACAATCAAATAGGTCGGTTATTCTAAATTTAATATTTGATAAATCTTTTGAATGAAGAATAAATGAATTCCCGATAATTGAAACGGATATGATAAAGAAAATGTGTTTAAGTTGATGGATAAAATGTTTTGTATTGATGGGTAAGAGTTAGGGTCTAATGTTTGATGTGAAAATCTCATTGGGGTATTAACTTTATCACATTTGATTAAAATGAAATTGGAACCAGTGTCAGAATACAAAACATCCCCAACATCTTTTTCAAAATTTAATATTCCCAACAATGAACGAAGATGAGGAGTACAAAATTTAATTTTCAGCGGGAATTTAATAAGGTTATTTATTTCATCAAGTTCAAAAAGTTTATCGGGTTTTGATTTAAAATTTTCTTCATACCATCCGATAAATGATTCATTTAAATAACTTAAAATCGTGTTAATATCCCATTTTGTTATCACATTATTTATATACATATCATACGTTTTTTCATGGTCATCTTTAATAAATGATATATAATCTGAAGGGTCTAAAAGAATGGGATTAAATTTACCACTCACAGAAACGAGAGTAACATTATAAATTCCGCTAACTGTTAAATTTAATTCACAGTTATTATTCGAAATAATATTGATAATTGACATTTTTATTACGATTAAAAATATGGTAAAGCGTTATTTTCCAGTGATAAATAAAACTAGAATAAGATTACCTCAAGAATTCATAAATTCAACGAATAAGAAATTCATTCATGTTATAAATTTTAGTGTTTTCAGAAAATATGAGTCAATGTCATATTCATCATCGGGTTATATTTCACTTCATTCAAATTTAGTTCAATCAAACCCATATAATGACCATTTCATAAGATTTTCAGATGGTATTAAAAATGCAATTGATAGATTAAAATATGAACATTGACAATATCGAATTTTTGGAATTTTGGTTTAAATATCCCGATGGAAAAAAGATTGAAGTTAAAGATAAAGCTGATACTATAACAAAAACAATTACAATGACCGATCCAGATAGTGGGGAACAAAAAGAAATAAAACAAACGATAGAAACTGGTGAAAGGTCAATTATTATTGATTATGATTCAAAGGATTATTATTCAATAATGTTAATGCTTGAATATTAAATGGCCTTAACAAAGAATTTTTCAAGTGATATTTTATATTCATCAACTATTTTATTATAAATATCATTATAAGTTAAATGTAGTTCAGTTGTTGTTCCATTCTTTGATATCTTAATTGTGCTAATATCCTTTATAGGATTTATTTTTGCAACTGTTCCGCAACATGAAACCTCATCATCTATGAAAAATTGAATCTTCACGTCTGAATCTTGAACATCACAAAGAATGGCGATAATGTGAATTAATGATTCATAAGGTAAAATAATTAAACCGGATTGGTCAATTAAATTTATTATTGAATCATAATTATTAATTATTATATCACGGTAAATTTTCATTAATTCAGAATTAATGTCTATTTTATATGGCGCATTGCGACTGGAATCGTAGATTCCTGGGTTCTCAATGTTTGATGAAAGAGGCGGGGGGTATGTTGGATAAGTGGGAATTTCAACGGGTTCTTTACCGGGTTCAGATAAAATGATTGGGTCTCCATTCTCCTCATTCTTCGGTAAGTCACGAGTTAATTCAGGGCTAACATTAACTTTAACATTTTGAATAATTCGTGATTTATCATCATTTACGTTATAACCAACCGTAATCTCTGCTTTTGCGTTAGTGTTCTTTTGACTTGTGAAACGTCTTCTCATTTATAATTGAATAAAAAAAAGAAAAATATATTTAAAGTTTTATTTAGTTGTTACGGTAATATCCCAAGGTTCATCATTGTTTGCTTATACTTTCTTTGTAACTGCACCAATTATGTTATTGATATTGCTTTGAGTTTCTTCCAGTCTTATTTTATCATTTACAATATCTTTAATCATTTCATTACATGCATTCTTAAAACCATCTGATTTTTCTAATTTACGTCTATCACTTTCTTTAATTAAATCAAAGTTATAACCTTGTTGAGAATAAAGTGGTTTCTTTATCAATTCTTGAACGCTTCTGAAAGTGAAGATGAAGAAATTCTTGCCACTTGAATTGGTTTAAATTCTGCTTTCATTGCTTCTTTCTGTTCATTGAACACTGGATCGAATAAAGCAACTTTAAAGAATTTCTTAGCTGGAATTTCAGGTCTCAAATTTGCATATTGACCATCAAACTGATTAGAATATCGTGGTAATCCATCCGGTCCCTCTTCAATAGCATTTAATTCTTCATTGAAATAAGAATATGGATTATGACGGTATGAATTAATTGGACCATGTTCACCTTCTCCAATGTATTGTTTAACAGCTTTTCCATTTTCATCAAATTGCATAGGATAACGTTCATTATATGCTTTACGTTTAGGATAATCAGATACAGTTAATTTGTAACCATTTATGACTTTAATATTACCTTGACCATCAGTAACGAAAACTTCATTTATACCATCAGGCTTTCCATTTGGTCCTGTAATGTCTGCTTCATGTGCTTCCCAATTTGGACCATGACGTTTGGCATATGCTTGAGCTTCTGGTAATGTTAAAACGTTTCTCATTTGTTTAACATCCTTTTGAAGACCAGCAACAATATGAACTAATTCTTTCATTCCATCTGGAACTTTCATAGTTCTATTATATGCACCCTTTTTGTTTGTCCCTTGTTTTAATGGAACTTGTAGAAGATTTGCTATTTCTGTCATGTTTAATTATAAATAAAAAATAAAAATTAATTATAAAAAGTTAATCAAATTTAACACTTCCTTTATTTAAATCAACTATTATTTTTCCATGTTCACCTAATTGCTGATATTGTGTGTAAAGTTCATTAATGCTCATTGGTAAATTCACTTGATAAAGCATAACGTTCAACTGTTGACGACTAAACCCACTGAAAATGAAAAGGGTGGACAGGTTTGATTTAATGTTTGTGCTTAATGCTTTGAAGTATTGAACAGCCATAAAGAATGAACACTGAATGTGTCGACATTGAGTTAATAACTGATTAAAATATGATTTCTCATTTGTTATTAGTTTTGATTTCACTGCATCATCTAGAAAAATGAGTGAATGCAAAAATTCTCTATCAAAATTTGAAATAGAAAGTGTTTCAAATAATTCATCCCGTTGTTTATCAATAATTTTATCCTCTAATCCTTGCTTCTTGATTGTATTATATAATTCTTTATACATTAAAAAGTTTTTTAAATAATCTTCTGCTTCTTCTTGTGATAAATAAATAATTGGAATTTTGATTAAATGCTTTAAAGATTCAAATGTATCATCTGAAGGTGAACCTGAACGGTTGATATAAATTAACACATGTGAATAGGGGGAAGTGTTAGCAATAATGATAATTTGTTTTAATATCGTTAATGTTTTACCTTTATTTTGTTTACCAATTGCTGCTGTGATTGAATTTAAGTAACATTCAGAATATGGAATTTTCATTAATTTTTCCTTAGATAGAGCATTTCTATTATCACTCAATGCTTCATTAATCATATCATCTATGTAGGTATTATATACATCTGTTAATTCTTCAGAATTGAAATCCATTTAATCAAAAATAAATTTATAATTTTAAACATTTCTATTCATCAATATTTCATCATATGAACTTCTATACTGTGGTGGTGTACCTGTTGGATGATATTTCAAACCTTCATCCGGTGTCCATGTCCAATACGTAGTCCTAGTAAACCAAACCTGAGGAGGATTTGTCACCTTTGAACAGTAAGTGTCATTTACACCCTGAATGATTGGATAAGCTTTCACTTGTACTGTAACTTGTGAATTGAAAGTTTCTAATCCATCAAAGAATATACCCGCTCCATCACGTTGAACTGGAATAGTGCATAAGAATGAAGTTTGGTCTTTCCATGTTCTAGTTAATGGCTTGCCATCATCATCATTTAGTGGTCTAGTTAATGAGTCCTCGTATTCTTCCGTGCATTCATTCACTCCATCTAAATCAGAAGCTTGAAGCATACGTGTAAAGAATATGTCGCCCACTGTGGTCATCGCTTGATCGGGGAAGTTTCTGGAATCTATAGTGACCTGAAGACCTCGAAGCATTGGATTTTCTAAAACTGTTCTTTGCATTGCATTCTTCGGAAATGTTAACACAACATCTGTAACATTATGAAGAGCGTATGAGAAATCTGAGCTGATACCTTCAGGAGTGATGCAACCTCCATTTAGTGAACGAACGTCAATATGTTGAGCTGGAATCATGAATGGATCTTCCTTACTGAATAAACGTGGTATTGCTTTCACTGATTCTTCAATTAAACCGTATCCTGGTGTAATGCATTTATCCTCTAAAACTTCCATCTTTATGCATGAAATAATAACGTCATCAACTGTTGCGTCAGCAGATGTAGCGGCTAAGCTTGTAATTAATTTGGTAGGAAGTCCGATTTGTTGGAATTTGCGATCATATTTAAACATGATTCATAATCTTTTCATAATTTTCATCAGTTATCTTTTCATAAACGTAATTTTGTAAATCAGCAACTCTTAACGGGTCAACCTGACAAAATACTAAAGTATCCCTGAAAACATAATATTTAAGAATGATATCACCAAATGATTTAGGATAATCATCGAACGCCTGAAATGCTAACAAATCATTTACCGGAATAATCATATCAAAAGTGATATCAACTTCTTCATTTGCTTTCTTGAAAACTTCTGAAGGGTCAATATATTTACCACATACTGAGTTATCATATTTTTGAACATTATTATATAACGAATGAACAAACTTTTTAACTTTCCTTTCTGATTTTGGTTTATATGTTGCAAATGCGAAAGATTCACGGGCGCAATCCATTTGAAGATAACCGGCATCACCTCTTTCGGTTTCTACTTCTAATTGTTTAAAGTTTTGATTTGATGATTTGTAACCAACGAATAAACGCATGCATTTAAAAGCGGCATCACATGTGAAAGCTTTATTTGAAACTAGAGTTACTTTAACTTTGCGTTTAATATATGTGTCACCTAATTGGTTCACATCATGAGCCGGATTTGTAATTCTTAAATGAGTTTGTTTATCATCAAAATATGGAGTATCAGAGTCATAGCATGAACTTTCAAGTTCTCTATAATATCTTCTACCGTCATTCTTTGCGAATATTTCATTTATCTTTTCGAATGAATGAAATACATTTCCATTAATCGGTTTAGTGTTTGGCACCAAATAGTTAGTCGTCATTTATTATTAAATAAAAAATCAAAATTAAAAGATGAAAATGAATTTTTAATTTTAATGAAATAATCAACTATGGCTGCAGGTATATTTAAGAAACTGTGGGATAAAGTAAAAAGAGGAGCGCATAAAGTTTGGGAAACAATGAAGAAGGGAGCAAATTGGATATTTAAGAATAAAGAAGCAATTAGTGACGTAGCTGAATCAATAACACCAAAAGCTGCCCCAATAAGAGAAATTTTAAATAAAGGAGAAAAAGTTTATCAAAGATTACAACCGATACTAAGATAAAAATAATATTTATTTTTCCACTATCTACCCCCTATTTTATTAAGTATTCCTTCAGCAATTCCACCAATTGCGTTACCTGCTTGTGCTCCCATCGCCGGATTACCTGCTTTAGTACCTAATACTCCACCTATGATAGTTCCTGCCGTTTTCGCTACTGGTGCCAAAAAGTTTGCAACAGGTTTAATAACCTTTTTATAAACCCAACCTGCAGCTTTCTTAATTCCATCCCATAATTTTTTAAAGAATCCTGCCGCCATTTCTGATTTAATATTAATTAAAAAATATATTTCATCACTTATATTCTAATTTTTATTTAATGATAAATGAAACCAATTTTAAAAATAAATGAAACAGAGGAGGAAGAAATAAATGAAAGTGGAAATGTTGAGATATAAAAATTGCTCACATTTGCTCACATTTTGGCACTTTTTTGTACGTTTGTCAAAAAATTGTGAGGAAGATCTCACAAAAATAGTCAAAATGTGAGCAAATTTTGAGAAGTGCTCACATTTTGACATACGATTATTTTCATACGTTTTTTTGATGAATTCTAATAAAACTTCATTACCACTTTCAGAACGAAGCGTAACTTTTCAGCACGTAACGCTCTATCATGTGTAGTGACATATTATTCAAAAAAACTCAGATTGCTTATCTTATAATAACAATTTCATTAGAAAAAATGCACGATTTCACGCTAAAACTTTGAAGCAATTCTTAAATTCGGATAAAAAATCGATATGTATTACACTTTAAACTTCAAAAAATGGTTCAAAATTTAGACTTAGTTTATCTTAACAATATAGCAGATTTTAAGCCGAACAAGTAGGAGTAATAGAAATAGCTCTTGAAAATAATTACAATTAGTAATATGTAAGTCAAAGTTCGAGTATTCTAATAAATAAACGTTCCGGATTTTCTTTACTACAAGAATCAATACTTAATATATAGAAGCAACAGTAAAAACTTATTAGAGATTCAAAAAGAAAGTTGACTAAAGAGAATCTTTTTATATAAGTAATTTTATTTTTTTGAAATACGAGATCGAATAAACATGTATTTTATTTTATTACTATAATAATACGTTTTTACATAGTAAGAAAGTTTAGAGACTGAAATGAAATTAAAAATTGAGAAAAAAATAAAGCTTTTCTATAAAAATTCATATTAATATATAGTATAATGATATTACAATTTATTGATAGTTGTGTTAGAAAAAAGGTACATTCACTATTTTTGACAAAATTTTAAATTTTCATGGGGTTGTAAATCTTATAATAACTAGATGAATAAGGAATAAATCCCAGTATGATGTAGTTATTTGTTGTTAATTCGAATGTGTTTAGAGGTAAACTTAGCTTGTGAGATATATATAAATAAAGTGTTAATGCTTTAACCGCTCTTGGTGGAATGACATATAATTTTGTATCCTTATAAATAAATTTAATGTAGTTTTCCATTTTTGTCACTTTTTAAGATCTTACAAAATATAGTTGATTTTTATCACTATTGAAATAAGATAAATAATGTAAGGACTCTAATTTTGTTATAAATATGAATGAAAACAGTAAAATGGATAACTTAAATATATAAAAATAAATATTGGAACAAAGCTATAACAAATTTTCATTCTTATTTATAAATTGATAAACCAAAGTAATACATTTTATTACATTTCGTGTAACATATACTAATATATAGATATTTTTTGAGATAATGTATTTATCTGTAAAAATTGTATGTGATCAAATTTGATTGATAAATTTATTCAGTAATAATAAATTGCATGTACAATATATTATTGTCTTGCCATTTTTTTGCTCATAATAAAAAATCTTTAAAAATGATAACAATAAAAGAGTATTAAGTAAAAATTTATACATCCAAAATATATTTCAGTAACAGCATAATACGCCTATGCTAATTTTTAGTTCTTAAATTAAATAGATGTCCCTAATCCCATAGATATTCACCAAACTTGGCAAATTCTGAACGTGATCTACATATCCCTAGCAAGTAGATCATATTGGTATACGTATCTTGATCAAATAAAAAGAATATTTGTTGAATAATTTCTGTTCAAATTAAAAGTTCTTCAACTTACGGTAAATCTATCTGCCTTAAAAAGTATTACGATATTATGCAAAGTCAATTTTCTCCAAAAAAATATTTGAAGATGATACTTTAAGTATACCAAAAATACAAGAATTTTGAGAGAACTCAATGAATTTTTGTGAAGGTGGAGTTAAATTGAGAAGATTTTTGGTCAGAGAAAAACAAAAATTACTATCTGATAAAATGGTATTAAAATGAAAAAAGTTTAAACAAAGGAAATGAAGAATTTATATTATATTAGAATTTAAAGAGTAAATATAAAAGATTGAAAGAAAGAATAATAATAGGATTCTTGAATGCAACATTTGGAATGATGTTTCCAGTTGTAGATGTGTTAAGCAAAGAGAGATAATGATAGTTTCTTGAGTTTTGAGTTAAGCTTGTTGTAGATGAGAGAGAAATTTTGACGAGACTGAGGAACTTCATTTGGAATGATGTTTCCAGTTGTAGATGTGTTAAGCAAAGAGAGATAATGATAGTTTCTTGAGTTTTTGCAATTAACCATCCTCAATGACTATTGTTTTAATATAATTTTTAAATTTTTTAAAACTGACATTTTAGTTGTATATTTTTTCTAACAAAGGTACATTCACTAGGTGATAACAGTAAAATGGGATGAAAATATGATAAATAGCATCCCTATATAGTGCCAAACAATATTTATACGGGCCAAAAAAATTTGGCTAGAGATTTGGCGAGT